CGATGCGTCTGCGTTCCGTGTCTGGGGATCTCGAGCTTTCGTCCGTGACTTGTCTGCGGACAAGCTGTCCTCCCGTGCTGTTCCTTGCGTCTTCCTCGGCTTCCCCCCTGACGCGCCTGGTTGGCGGTTTTACCACCCCACCTCGCGTCGTGTTCTGTCCTCCCAGGACGTCACGTTTGACGAGTCGGTTCCGTACTACCGTCTCTTCCCCTACCGCACTGCTCCCCTCCCCCCCCCGCCGCTCTTCCTCACGCCCGTTCCCCCCCTGGTAGACCCCTTCCCCCCTCGGGGTCCTGCCCCGTCAGGTGTGTCCCAGGTAGATGCAGTCGAGCCTGTCGAGGTAGCTGTTGACTCTGGTACTTCTGGGGGTGCTGAGCCTGAGTGTGAGGAGCCTGGAGGTGCTGGGTCTGGGGGTGCTGAGCCTGAGCGTGCGGAGCCTGGGGGTGCTGGGTCTGGGGGTGCTGAGCCTGAGCGTGCGGAGACTGGGGGTGCTGGGTCTGGGGGTGCTGAGCCTGGGGGTGCTGAGCTTGCCGGTGCTGGACCTGGAGGTCCTTCGGGTGCTTTGTCCCGGCGGGAGCTACCCTCTCCACAGGAGCTACGCGAGTGGTTTGCGCGGCGCTGGAGCCGTGCTGCTGGAGCTGGTGGTACTTCTGGGGCTGGGGGTTCTACTTCTGCTGGGGGTACTGGAGCCACGATTCCCGGAGGTGCTCGTACTGGAGGTACTGGAGCTGCTGGGCGTGGTGGTGCTACTGGTGCTGGAGCTCCTGGTGGAGCTGGAGCTGGCGGTGCTGCTGGCGTAGGTACTACTGGAGGTACTGGAGCCGGAGCTGCTGAGTCTTCCGGTGGTCCTGCTGGAGCTGGAGCTGCTGTGGGTGCTGGAGGTACTGGAGCTGGAGGTGCTGCTGGAGGTACTGGAGCTAGAGGTGCTGCTGGAGCCGGTGCTCCTGTGGGTGCTGGAGTTGGCGCTACTGGAGCTGCAGGTGGTACTACTGGAGGTGGTGCTGACGCTGCTGGTGCTGGTGCTGTCTCTACTGGTTCTGGAGGCGCTGCGCGACCGCGGCCGTACTTCGTTCCACTCCTTGAGCAGGTTCTTGGTCTTCCGCCTTCTTCTGGTCCTGCTCCTTCTTTAGAGTGTCCACTGCCTGTCCAGTCTAAGTCACAGTTCCAGCTGGCGTCCCCTCTGCCTGCTCCTTCTCCCTACGCTGGTCCTACTGGAGGTCTTGCTGAGCGTCGTGAGCCTGAGTCGCGTCCTGCGTCGCCTGTTCGTACTGCTCGCACTAGTCGTCGTGTTCCGCGTCAGCGTCCTCCTGCGATCCCTGGCACGCATCCGATGGCACTGCATCCTTCCACTGCGTCACAGCGTGTCCCTTTGCCGTCTCCTCCAGCGTCCTCTCTTCCTGCTCTTGCTGACCCGGAGTCTGACTCCCTTCGTGCTGCCAGTCCTACTGTCACTCGTTTCCTAGCCACTGCTGTCACTAACCCTTCCTTTGAGTCCACTGCTGCGTCTGCCTTAGTTGCTGAGCTTGTCGACTTCGCTGCTCACTGTCGTCTAGACTACGCCGCTAGTCTTGTTGCTGAGTCTGCGTCTGTCTGTCCTCCGTCCGTCGGGGGTGAGTGTGCTCTTAGCACGGACGTCCTTGAGGACAGGCAGGAGGAGTTTCAGTGTTTTGCCGCTGCTTTACATCATCTCGTGTCCGCGCTGCTTGCCCCTGAGGGAGACCCGGATGCACCAGACATCCCAACCCCGCGCTCTTACTCAGAGGCGATAGAGGGTCCCTACTCCTCTCAGTGGCAGGCAGCCATGGATGCAGAGATGGCTTCCTGGAAGTCCACAGGCACCTACGTCGACGAGGTTCCCCCACCTGGGGCGAACATCGTCAGTGGCATGTGGATTTTCAGGGTGAAGCGGCCGCCGGGTTCTCTGCCTGTCTTCAAGGCGCGGTACGTGGCTCGAGGCTTCAGTCAGCGGCAGGGAGTTGACTACTTTCAGACCTTCTCCCCGACCCCGAAGATGACCACTCTTCGGGTTCTGCTGCACGTCGCTGCTCAGCGTGACTACGAGCTTCACTCCCTTGACTTCAGCACTGCTTTCCTACAGGGCAGCCTGCACGAGGAGATCTGGCTGCGCCGCCCACCTGGCTTCACTGGGTCGTTTCCTCCTGGTACCCAGTGGAGCCTCCAGCGGCCAGTCTACGGTCTCCGCCAGGCGCCCCGTGAGTGGCACGACACACTGAGGACTACGCTTGCGGCTCTTGGGTTTGCTCCTTCCACTGCTGACCCGTCGCTGTTTCTTCGCACCGACACTTTGCTGCCGCCGTTCTACATCCTCGTGTACGTCGACGACTTGGTGTTTGCTACGGCTGACACTGCTGGACTCGCCCACGTGAAGTCCGAGCTGCAGAAGAGACACACGTGCACAGACCTGGGTGAACTGCGCAGCTATCTTGGCTTGCAGACCACTCGGGACAGAGCACGGCGCACCATTACCCTGACTCAGTCACACATGGTGCAGCAGGTCCTTCAGCGCTTCGACTTCACGTACTCCTCGCCTCAGGCCACTCCTCTGTCTACTCGCCACTCGCTCTCAGCTCTGCCTTCGGATGAGTCCGTAGAGTCGAGTGGCCCGTACCCAGAGCTTCTTGGCTGCCTCATGTACCTGATGACCTGCACTCGACCTGACCTGGCATACCCTCTTAGCATCTTGGCACGCTATGTTGCTCCTGGGAGACACCGACCAGAGCACATGGCTGCAGCGAAGAGGGTGTTGCGCTACTTGTGCAGTACGTCGGGCATGGGGCTAATGCTTGGAGGGCGGAGTCCAGTGGTCCTCACTGGTCACGCAGACGCATCTTGGGTTGACGACCTGGCTACGCAAACGTCACAGGGTTACACCTTCAGCCTTGGTTCCGGCTCTGTTTCGTGGCGGTCTACTCGCTCGTCTTCTGTTCTCAGCTCCAGCTGTGAGGCTGAGATCTACGCAGGGGCCATGGCTGCACAGGAGTTACGCTGGCTCACCTACCTGCTGACTGACCTCGGTGAGCAGCCTCGTTCTCCTCCAGTTCTGTACGTAGACAACAAGGCCATGCTGGCCTTGTGTCGGGAGCACAGACTGGAGCACAGAACGAAGCACATTGCTCTTCGCTACTTCCTTGCTCGTGAGCTGCAGCAGCGTGGTCAGCTGCTTCTTGCTTACGTGGCCTCCCAGGCCAACACTGCTGATATCTTCACCAAGGCACTTCAGCCTTGTGATCATCAGCGCTTCTGTACTATGCTAGGTCTTGTGCCTACTTTGCCTCACTTGCTTACCTCTTGACTTTACCTGTACTGTGATCTATATATACCTGCACTTGCTTGTTTACCTTTTATATATAATCCTGCATGTGAACTGGCCTTGTGGCCTTTGAACCTGTGCTCGGACTGTGTGGTGACGTTGTGATCCACCCTGAGCTTGCTTTGCTTTGCTTTGCTTGACTGGTCTTGTGACCCCTTGTTCTCCCCCACTTTGCCTATGGGGGTGTGTCAAACATTAATCACATAGCCTGTCTAGGCTGTAGTGGGGTAGACACTATGGGGTACAGTTTTCTAGGGTTTCATATTCGTACCCAACTCATTTTCTTAGTCAACCATTCATTCCTATTCTCACAATGCATGCACATAATAAAATGCGTGAGAGTTAACGACCCAAAAAACTAAGCTACCACCATCCCCTGCATAGCATGGGGGGGAGGTCAATAGCAAAGATTTTGAATAATAAACTATCACATGAAACAACACAATCTGTAAATCCTAAAAAAAAAAATCAACCCTATCAAATCCAGTTCGAAGTGGCAACACAAGAGTCACTTTGTGCGCCAATGAACCTTTTGTGAAATTATAGACTTGAGCCATCTTTTTTAATTTCACAGACATGCATTGTTGATGCAATGATAATCATAAAAAAATACACACGCATGCACACAATGACACATACGCATACACATACACACACGAAGACAAACTAACGATAAAAGAACCGCATATAAAAGCACAAACAAAAAAAGACAAGTAGGAAGAAATGAAAACAGATGATGCAGATTTTATGAACAGCAATCTAAATCAAAATTTACAATCCAACATTTCCCAATCGCTTGGCTCAATTATTAAGTAGTTAATCTGGCGTACGCGCAACCTGGTGAAAAAAGAAAACAAGCACCACAGGACGAAGAAAGGAACGTGTAGAAGAGATAAAGGGCGAATACGGTGAAAGAAAATCAACTGAAAGGAAGAAGCAGAGAAAACAAGAAGAATGGATTCAAAACAAGGGAGAGAGGACCAAAAAGAGAGGACGAAAGGAGAGAGAGAGAAGGAATGAGAAAGAGAGAACGAGAGAGATAGAACGAGAGAGAGAGAATGAGAGAGAGAGAGAACGAAGGAGAGAGAGAACGAGAGAGAGAGAGAGAGAGAGAGAGAGAGAGAGAGAGAGAGAGAGAGAGAGAGAGAGAGAGAGGCATAGGCCTAGTTCTTAGCCTCTCCTTCCCCTTCCTCCCTAGTATTTAAGGCTTTGTTGCCTGCCTAGCTTCTCATTATTCAGTTTGAAGTTGGTTTCTTTCTCCCAACCGAGCGGCTGAGAGAGAGCGAGAGAAAGAGAGAGAGAGAGAGAGAGAGAGAGAGAGAGAGAGAGAGAGAGAGAGAGAGAGAGAGAGAGAGAGAGAGAGAGAGAGAGAGGCATAGGCCTAGTCCTTAGCCTCTCCTTCCCCTTCCTCCCTAGTATTTAAGGCTTTGTTGCCTGCCTAGCTTCTCATTATTCAGTTTGAAGTTGGTTTCTTTCTCCCAACCGAGCGGCTCGCACCGGCCGCCTCCAGCGGCCGACGCTCGACAGCGCGGCCTTCGGCCGCGCGTGAGGGAACGGCAAGGGAGAAAATGGGACAAGCAGCTATAATTCAAGACATACAAGCAATGGCATCACCTACACCAGCCTAGGATAACACACGGCAACAACATGGCACAGGAAGAGGCGTACGCTACATCTGATCCGCGTCAAGGACGGCGAGAAGACCCGTCAACGAGCGATGAAGCTCGCGCACCACCACAGTGGTTGCGCCGATCAAGTCGACTGCAGTCCCTGCGCGCAAAAACCGGCGCAGCCCACGGTCTGCCGTCCCAAGCTGTCCAACGCCCGCAACTCCACCCCGCGCGGGCGCAGCCAACACGGGCGCAAGGAGCTCGCCCAGCCGATCAGCGGCATCTAGGCACTCGTCCCGATGGCCACTCTCCAGAGGAACACCCTGGGCGAGAGCCGCGTGACCATACACCTGAATCAGGTGAACAGCCCGCAGACCCTCCGAGAGGCGCCATAGCTGCCCCAGCGAAGCCTCCGGCACCACAGCGGAAGGAGAGGGCCCCACCAGCGACTGTTGAGGTAGCGCAGCAGACGGCGGAGCGGGAGCGACGGGCAGCAGAGATGGATACTGACCCGTCACGCGTCCCCCTGCCGAAGTCACAAACCCCATACCCGCCACAGGAGGAACCCACGGCAGGCGCATACGGCTCCCCAGAGCAGCAGCAGAGGCAGCAGGAGCATGAGGAGGAGGAACAGCCGATTGGGGAAGAGGAGGCGCCGGCGCATACGGAGCAGCAGGAGGAAGGGACGCATGCGTTGGAGCGACGCGAGGCGAATTGCTCTGGCTCGCCTGCCCATTCCGCTCCTCGCGCACTGCAGCGGAAACAGCTTGCTGCAGATCGGCCATCGACACCGGCCGATCATACCCCCAGTCACCACCACGCCCGCGCCCTCCCCACCAGCCACTGCGACCTCCGCGGGACGCAGCCCAGTTCGCCTGGAAACCGCGGCGCCGAGGAGTGTTGCGTCGCCGCTGCGTCGTCGCTCGCTTGTCAAGTGGCGCCGGGGAGTGAGGCCGATGCTGCCGGCGGCCTGGAGATGGCTGACGCTGAGCAGGGGGAACAGTAGTGAGCGGCGCAGGATCAGGCACCGCCTAGACGTCCGGGGCCGGCACGGGAGGCGGCGCAGTCGGAGGGGCGGGAGCAACAGAGACTGCTACCTGGCCCGGGCCGTCAGTGGTGGCGGACACCACCGGTTGCGACGCCACGGCGCCAGCAGGGGCAGCGGCGACCATCGGGACGTCAAGAGCGGGGGCATCTGGTGGAGCGGGATCAGCGGCAGCAGTCGGTGCCGCAGGGTTCACAGAGACGGGCGGAGCAACAGCAGGGGTTGGGAGTGCAGGAGGGTATGGAGCAGCCTGCGTCTCACACGACACGAGGCCCGGAGCCGGAGGCGCAGTGCAACCAGCGGCCAAGGGGGCTAGATTCGGGGCATGGGGGACTGGCGGCTTCATTGCAACACTCCCCAAGGCAGACACCGGCGGTGACCTTCCGCTCGCCCCTGACGCAGAGGCAGCGGGCTTTGGCAATGGCCACGAGTCGCCAGCAATCACCATCGCGAGGCGGGAGGAGACGAGGAGCAGAACGCCGGGAAGGGCGGCGAATCGAAGGAGGACCGGAGAACGCTTTCCAGGCGGCGGCGCGACGGGCTTTAATCCGACTCGACGAGAATACTGATCCGGAGGAGCGGAACGACCCCTCTTATAGGGAGGAGGCTCAGGCACCGAGCAGCAGTAGCGAGGAGGACAACGAGGAAGAGCAAGAGCACTTGACGAGAGGAAGGGGAGGAAGCCAGAGAGGAACGACGGTACAATATGGAAACACAGAGGGGCCACAGGATGACGATCGGACGGCCACAATTCCAACCCCGCCTCCTACTCGTGCGACGGGCCGCGGACGAGGAAATCGGACCGCGAGGGGTCTGGCAAGGGCGGCTTGCCAGCCGCATAACCCCCAATATTTTTCACCAGAAGAGCTGGCGAGGCAGGCTGACAAATTTGCCGAAGTAGCGGACTGGGACGTTACGCCTCTCTGCGATAGTCGCCAACCCACGCTGTTACGACGACTACCGCCAAATTTGTGCGAGATCTTTTCGCTCGCAGTGCTAACACCACTACTGCACCTCTCGCGAAGCCCAGACTCCATCGCGGGATGGAAGTTACTCCTTTTTCTCCCCCGCTTGACACTACGTCAGGGCTCGCCGAAACGACCTGATTGGCCGAAAATCAAAGCCAGACTCCGTGCAAATCAACGCGGCGAGTGGCAGCAGCTGTATCTGGACGCAGTCGAAGCAGTCAACACACTGCCCCCGCCACGTCATCGACCTGACGACGTGGGTACGATCAGCAGAGCAGAGGGCCTGGCAAAGAAAGGGAGTCTGCGCCGAGCCGTGTTGGCGCTCGAGTCAACACCGGTCTGTACGCCTTGCCCAGAGATTTTGGATGAACTCCGCCAAAAGCACCCCGCAGCCGACCCTGACCCACTGACCTGGCCAGCCAGCACCGAACCTCCCAGCCTCGAAATATCCTACGTGGATTTTTCGAAGATGCTCAGCCGATGCGAGAACGGAGTTGGGGCCGGCCCGAGCGGAATGACATTCGAACACCTTCGCGATTCGTCAGTAACAAACGCAGCCGTCTCCACCCATCTGCACGCCTTAGTCAACACGATTATGAGGGGGAATTTGCCACAGCCAGTCGCGGAACTGCTCACATCGTCACGACTGATAGCCTTGGCCAAGCCAGAGGGTGGGGCCCGCCCAATATCGATTGGAGAATGCCTGACTCGCCTGACTGCAAAAGCTGCGCTGGCAGCCTTGGGCGAAGCGGCACGGGGTTATTTTCTCCCCCTCCAGTACGGTGTGGCTGTGCCAGGGGGGGCGGAGGCAATCATTCAAAGCGCACGGGCATACACGGACGCACACCCCAACTGCCTTATCCTATAGACAGACATTTCTAACGCCTTCAACAGCATATCGAGGCAAGCCATAGCTACCGCTTTACAAGATCCGGCTCTCTCCCCCGCCTGATCCTTCGCCAACCCTCGCCAAAGCGCCCTGACTGGGCCAAAATTAAGGCCCGGATTTCATCATTCCAACGTGGCAAATGGGAGCAGCTCTACACTGACGCCATGGAAGCTGTCAACACCCCCCCACCCCCATGTCACCAACTTGATAAGATCGGGGTCATCACTAGAGCAGAAGGCCTGGCAAAGCGGGGGAGTTTGCGTCGGGCCATACTCGCCCTTGAGTCAATGTCAGTGTGCACTCCCAGCCCTCAAATTATGACTGAGTTGCGACAAAAACACCCGCCAGCTAGCAATGAGCCCATGGCATGGCCACCCCACGACCAACCACAAAGCCTGAACATTTCCGACGCTGACTTCATCAAATTGCTGAGCCGCTGCGAGAATGGGGTGTGTGCCGGCCCGACAGGCACCTCATTCGAACACCTGCGCGACGCGGCAGTAACAAACGCGTCTGTCTGCACCCATCTGCACGCCTTGGTCAACACCCTGCTGGGAGGGAAATTTCCCTAGCTTGTAGCAGAACTACTCACGTCATCGCGGCTGGTGGCACTCGCAAAGCCAGAAGGTGGTGCCCGCCCCATAGCAATAGGCGAGTGCCTCACCCGTCTAGCAGCAAAGGCCGCTCTGACAGTCATGGGAGAAGCAGCACGGGGATTTTTTCTCCCGTTGCAATATGGAGTTGCCGTACCGGGAGGAGCTTAAGCGGTCATACATGCAGAACGGGCATTCACTGATGCACGGCCAGACACGCTCATTCTGCAAACAGCCCTATCAAACGCCTTCAACAGCATCTCACGACAGGTGATAGTAACCGCCCTACAGGACCCGACTCTCTCGTCCCTGCTCCCGCTAGTCCAGCTAACCTACGGACAGTCGTCGCTCCTTTACCTCAACGCAGGTTTCGAAAGACCACTCAGGCCCGCTTCTCTTTGCAGCTGGTATCCACCCAGCGTTACGAGGAACAGCAGCGGCTCACCCTGGTGTGTTGCGTCAAGCATACGCGGGCGACGTCAGCTTCCAAGGCGGAAGAGCTGAAAGAGTCGCAGCATTTACCCATTTCACGAGTCAACTAGCCAGAGTAGGGTTAGAGTATAACCCGGCAAAATGCGCGCCGTGGAGTAAATCACGGATTACAGACGAGAAGGAGCTGCCACCCGGGGTGCCTTTCAGTCAGGATGGCGTTAGACTGTTGGGAAGTATGGAGTTAGACTCTTAGGTACCGCGGGTGGGGCTGCATCGTTCCTAACAGATCAACTTCGGTCAATGGCGAAGCCGCTACTGCTTCTGGAACGCACGGACCCACAGATCGCATCGCTCATACTGTCCCGATGTATCTCCCGCCGAGTAGCTTACCTCACCAAGACCACCCTGCTGAATCTCTTGCCTGGTGATGCGTGGTTGCAATGGGGTCGGGACATGCTCGCCACGCTCTTAGTATCGTGTGGAATTCGCTATTCGCTATCTGTCACGGAGAAGACGCACGTTTGGGAGCAGCCTTCATTGCCGCCGTCACTCGGTGGGATTGGTCTCACTGACCCCACAGTAGAAGGCGTTTCAGGCTTCCTTGCCAGTTTTACCCAGGCATCACTGCTACTGAACTCACTCCCGCTCGCTCCAGAGGACGTCTTGACCACGGCCAAGAACCACATGCTTTTGCCACGGGACACAAGTACAGCCTTGCATTCATGGCTAACGGACTGTGAAGCTGCACTGCCTCAAGAAGCACGAGAGATATTAGAGAAGGAGAGAAAAGAACCGGTGGGAGTTCGGCTGCAACACGCTCTCGCAGTGCAAGTGCAGGGGAGAAGATACGCGAGGCAAGTACTGGAGTCAAGGCACATGACACCGAACCCGCTGTGCGGACACACCCAATGTTTCCTCTCTCTGATTGGCTATGGTACAGGTGATTGGCTGCTGGCAATCCCAATCGAGTCAACATGGCGGATCGGACCAGAGCACTTTGCAAACACAGTCCGCTTCTGGTTGGGCCTACCTTTCGCAACACCAGCAAAGTGTGACTGCTCAAAACACGTGAAGATCACTGACTCGAGACTGCCCAACCGCCTCTTTCGCTGCGGCACAGGAAAACACTGGATCAACATGCATAACGAGCTTCGAGATGCCTGCGCCAGCATGGCACGGGATGTGGGCTTCATTGTTCACACGGAATCAGCAGCCTATTGTCTAGTAGAGGAGCAGACGGCAGACCTAACGATGATGGACCGGAGCTCAGGCGCAGTCTAGATTTGTGATGTAACAATTACAGATTCCATTAGTACCCGGGACCCGACGGTTGCTAAGGGCAGGGGATGGGCAGCGAGGAAGCAGGCGGATAAGAAGATTCAACACTATGCAAGCCGGCCTGACACAGTGGGTTTTTTTCCCCTTGCTGTTCAGACCTACAAATGCCCATATGCGGAGGTGCCCGTGTTTCTGAAACTGCTGGCGGATTCTGCTGCTAGGTGTCACTTCAACGCCGAACCTAACTCCTTTCATGCAGCTAGATTCCTCCACCTTTTCAGGCAGAGGTGATCCGTGGCACTGCAGAGGGCCCAGTCGGTGGGGTACCTTATGAAGTCTTGTCAAGCAGCTATGGCAGAGCACCCACTAGTTGGGGGAACACAGCACGAGCTCCACCTTGGTGATTGCCTCGCCATGATTGAGCCCCTGGTGGAGGTTTAAAGGAGTAGACCGAAAGTATGTTGCGTAGGTTATTTGTTATTCTGTCTCTTAGTGTGCTTATCTGATTGCCTATTCATTGTCCCTAGATCTTGCATGCTTGTACCTTGCTGCTATATCAATACAAGGAACATTAGAGAGAGAGAGAGAGAGAGAGAGAGAGAGAGAGAGAGAGATATGACTACTAAGGCCATTCTCCGTGAGAGCATCACATCCTGATTCGCCCATTTTCAGCAGATGCACGCATACAAGCATAATCAACCTCTCTGGGGAATGAAGGACGGCTGTTCACTATGGAAAAGTGATGAGAGCAAAGCAGATTGTCCGTCCGTATCCCTTCCTA